CCTCAAAAATCGATTCAGCACCCCAAAAATGTATAAGTTTGACACCAAGATCATCAAAATGGGCTCATCAGTCACTGACATATGACACTTAGCATTTTAAAGGGAATGTACATCATTGGCTTTTGCTGTAATTTTCAGAAATGAACTATTTGAAGGGGGAGTATAATAGATCAAATATTGTTACACTGACATGTTTGAAGTTTTTGTTCGAAAATGCTGGAAAAACCAAGAAAAACAAAAATGTTCAAGTAGTCTGGTTCCCTGACTCCACTAAAGATAAAATGGATCAATTTCCAGATGCCGGAAAATTGTAAGGTAAGGGAACAAGTCTAGCTGGCCTGCACCCGTTCATGAATATGTAACCAATAGCAAACAAAATTTGAACTGAATAAAAAATGGTACATTTGGAGCAGTAGTTGCAAAATAGTTAGGTTTTTCCAACGGTGGTCGGCCGACCAGCGCTGGAAACGTATACAAAAATACCATTTTCTTGAAAATGACTTCACACCAGGTGCCATATAAACTTTACAGGATGCTTTTGACTGTCATTTAACAACATCCTAGTAAGGTATTTCGTAAAAACTTGGTAGTTTTATTTTTCGATGTTTGCAAATGTTGTATATTCCCTTTAATTATTCGCACGGCAGCCATCTTGGAAATATGCAAATTAGGGCATCATGGGACATTTGTTTTCGCTGGCAACATCAAAATTCTTTAATCCGATGTCCTAGGGATTCTAAAAATCATCTTGGAATTTAGTTTTATTTTTTTTGGGGGGGGTGCATGGGAACCCATTTCTCCTGCCGTACTAAATAGGTGTTGGGCTTAGGCCCAACACCTAATAAAGAACCGCCACCCACCAAGATAACGAAGTGTCCCCAGCCACTCTGATGTAAGGAATGCCTCACCCAAACCAGTGCCCATGGGCTTTTATATTTTTATTTATTTATTTATTTATTCTGGTTTATTATTAAAAACAAAATATACTGTACACAACAGCATAAATGCTGACAATTACAATATTTACAAAATAAGTCTAAAAGTTCATATCGTCACATTTACAGTAAAATTTAAAAGGGAGAAACAAACAAACAGACATGATACAAAGCATAAAATTCACACACCAAAGGTGAAAATTTACATTCCATACAACAGATGATTTTGTAAAAAAAAAAAAAAGGTAAAAAGTTTCACACAAGCCATTTAGATCACCAACACAAACACAACCCTTACCCCCCCCCCTAAAAAAAACACCAACATCAAACGAGCAAACACACCCAAAAAACAACTAAACAACAAACAGACATGCATTACGTGTATAAACATTACCCACATCACATTTAACATTACATAAAAGTCCTTTCAGTTACAATTAAATTAAAAAGAGAGAACCAAACAAACAGACATGATATATAAGGCATACAATTATTCACACACACCAAAGTTTACATTTACGATCCATATAGATACAAGTGGTTTAAAAAGAGAAATTGATAAAATACAAACAAGCAAGCAACAAACAAACAAGCAATACAATAACCCAACAAAAGCACAAATAGAAAAAACTGACTACAGCGGCAAGCCAAATAACAAACCCAGAACAGCTCCCCCCCCCCCCCTACATATTCGCAGGCAGGGCAAAAACCATAATATAAATCACTAGAAATATTTGCAATATTTTAAAATACACGTGTACATGTACTACATACCCAAGTTAAATCACTAGTTGATACTATTTAATATGCTAACTAATGATGGAATGGTGGACTTGTTGTATCTAACAGACCTACACTTAGGGACCTGCATGCCAGTGATGGTGGATGATCTAAGCTCTCTGCTACACACACTTTCTCTAAGTGGTGGCAGCATGTTTCTAAATCTATTAGAGTTAAGCAGTTTGTTACCAAACTTAAGCAGCAGATCCTCCCTCCTAGATTTAAGAGTAGGCAAACCAAGCACGCTGAGTACTGCGGTGTAGGAGTCATAGCCATGGCCAAGAATGATACGCACTGCACGTTTCTGTATGTTTTCAATGGCATCACTTTGGCGGACACTAATAGAGCTGTGCCAAACCTGACTACATACTCTAAAATGGGCCTTATGTAGTGTACACAGCAACCATGTGAGAGGTGGGTATATTAGCCTTCTTAAGAATACACAAAGTGTACAACCTACGGGATGCCCGAGAGACAATGTCTGTGGTATGGATGTCCCATTTCAGGTCGTTTTGTACAGTAACACCGAGTAACTTCATAGAGGTCACAGAATTCAATGCTGTGTCATCAAGTTTAAATGAGGACCTAGGTGTGTCACGCTTCAAAAAACTTACTGTCATGGTCTGACATTTAGATGGCTTCGGAAGTACACTGTTGTCATAACACCAACTCGACAAGTCATCAAGATAGCTTTGCATGTGAGATGCTTGGCCATGCTTCACTACTTCACCTATCGTTAAATCATAAACATATTTCCAATGTCTGCAGTTTTCAACTGATGCATCATTAACCAAAATCAGAAACAGAATTGGACCCAATTTGGTGCCTTGGGGAACCCCACAAGAAATACCCTGAGTCTTTGACAAATGACCGCAGAGCTTAGTATTATGGGTACGCTCAGTGAGGAAACTGCAGACAGTGGGAACAATAGAATGTCTAACTCCAAGTTGAATGAGCTTTCGAATAACAATATTATGGTTCACCCGATCAAAAGCCTTCGTAAAATCTATGGCACAAAGGTTAGCAAAATGACCAGTTCTATCAAGTCCCTCATGCACAAAGTTAAGCATGTCCACGAGATAGTGCACAGTGGCGCTGCCTTTGACGTTGCCATACTGATTGACATCCAGCTTTGAAGAAATGTCTTCGAGGATCAACTTTGCAAGAAAGGTTTATATGCATTCAAGCATTGAGCACTGACTGCAGTCTACAGATCCTACATTGAGCACTGACTGCAGTCTACAGATCCTTTGTTAAGACTTTAGTAAGAATGTCCCGGGAATTAAGATACAAACTTAAGGCATACAAAACAGTCATGTGGTTGCGAAGGGCGATTTCTTAAGGTTACGTAAAACTTTTTTTTTAATGAAAGTACATGTACACAGACATGTTCACGTTGGCAGGTGAAATCTTTGATAATTAATTTCTCCAGTTTGGAAGACCGTTTCTTCATGCAACTTTCAGGATTTATTTCTCTTATAATGATCCAAGTATGTGCTAAAAATCGTTGTGATATGTTCATCCCTTTTCGTTGAAATTGGAAAATAGGCCTGGCTACGTGCTTTTATTGAAGTTGCAACACCGGCGTTGGCAATATCTGCCAATCTTTTCAAGCCTCAGGAATATTAATAAGGTTCCTATCCATTATGGTATGCAGTGAAAATTTGGAGAAAACCCTCCTTCACGAGTTATTAATTGATAAATATCACCCTTTTTGCCTGCTTCTTTGGTCGATACCGAGATCCACGCCAAAACACACCCAGTGACGCTAATGAGTATGCTAATCTATCATACGTTATTGTGTTGCTTGGCCGGAATCGTCAACAATGCACGTGGGTTGGGTTGGCAGAATATCCTCCTTAGAGATGGTTCAAGGTGGAATACTAGCGTTTGCAACAACAGACTAAGCTGAAATTTGGAATATACTTAGATGATATAAATGTTCAACTAATCGTGAAATAAAAATTTGGAGAAATACCTAGAAATTGATATAAATACATAGATTTGGGGAAGTTTTCGAACGATTTCTTCCAGACTTAAAGGTCAGCAATACCAGTAACCAGTATTGCCGTTTCGGCATCGATGACGGCGATTTTTTCACTGATATGAAGTTTAGAATTTCTTAAAGGGAAAATACAACATTTGCATGACACTGTAAAGCATCCTGTAAAATCATGGCACCTGGTATACTGTCATTTTCAAGAAAAGTGGTATTTTTGTATCAATTTCCAACGCTGATCGGCCGACCAGCGTTGGAGAAAACTTTTTTCAAATACTGGCCCCATTTGACCATCGCACTTGTTTGCAATCGATTACACACCTCTGAACGGGTACAAGCCAGCTAGACTGGTTCCCTGACCTTACAATTCCCCAATTTATGTAAACTGCTCTGTTTCTTCTTAAATGGAGTCAGGGAACCAGACTACAGGAAAATGATTGTTTTTCTTGGTTTTTGTAGCATTTTCGAACCCAAAACCTCAAAAAAGTCAGTGTAACTATATTTGCTATATATTTCCAACCCCCAATTCCATCCATTTCTGAAAATTACAGCAAAAGCAAATAATGTATATTCCCTTTAATCTATTATAATTTAACATTTCAATCATACTCGGCATATTTTCTGAGAAATACAACGTTCAAAAGTCCATGTTTTGTGTGGTGCATGAATTTCACTGCTCTGCTATAGCGTCTAAGTACGGAATCGGATTAGCTTTGCTTAACAATGGCAGACGTTTTGCCTTAGCAACAACATGACTGCAAAAACCTTGGTGGGGTAGCAAGGCTGGCCCTTGCTTAACCCATACAAAGTTTAAAAGAAATACATTCCAAACTGTCACAAAGAAAAATACTTATCATTTGAACAAGTGGCTACTGACAAAAGACCTTTATTTGTTACAGTATGTAACCAAAATCTACAAATTTGAATTCTGAATCATAATTATTTAGAACCTTGTACTCGCTTGGCATTAAAAAATTGACTGATGCTTGGATATTTCAAAAGGAACTCTGTGGAAAATAAGAATACATTGACCAACTATTCTTACAAGGAATATTCATTGTACATGTACCAAGCTGTAATAATGTCTGTGCATTAGCTCTACATGTATATACCATGTATGAAGGCATGCCTTTACACAGAAACAAAAAATTTAACATCCCAACCAAACAAAGAGAAAAAATTCAAGACTATTGCGAGTTTGAATTAACCCTTTACCCTTGATTGCGGTCACTACTTTTGCTGGCATGATTGTTGCAGTAACTGTCCTTTTACTATTCATGTTACAGAGAGGCTAAAGAAATGTTGGGTGTTTGCATTCTCAGTCTATGATGTCTTGAGATTGTTCAAGTGGAGCATACCAGGCCTGTTGTACTTTCTTGACAACCTCATTGCCTTCTACGTTGTTGCATCATTTGAACCGGTAAGTTAATATAGTATGTAATATCTGTTTATTTATACAAAGTGTAATGTTTGTGATTTGTCATGGTTCCATTCAAGATACTTTTTCTGATAAGAATAAACTTTGTATGGCACGTATAGTGTTTATATTTCTTTTCATATATTTATTCCATTTCTTTACCCAGGGTATGCTCAAACAGTTTAAAACTGGTTTCTATTGGGGGCCCTTCATACATTAGGCCAAAAAAATAATTCTGCTTCTGATTCAGCAAATGTTCAGATTATTTCGGTATTTGTACGCTGTGTCATGTGGATTTTTGTGTGAGTCACGCCGGCCGAAATGATTGCCAGAAGCACATCGCAACGGATGAACATGCTCGGGCAGCAGAAAATGTTAAAAACACACCAAAACTCACCAGCTTCAGCAGCTTCAGCAGCTTCAGCTTGGACACATTGGTATAAAAAAAAATATGTTTGTTGATTTTCCTATTGAACACAACCTACCCATTGCTGCTTCTGATCATGCTGGCCCATTAGTATTCAGGAAGATGTTTCCCGTCTTCACTTCGCGTTTGTTGAGTTACAAACGCAGAGTGGTCGGGCGGACAGGCTGTTCATTCTATTCCTTCCTCCATGATTATACACTGCCCACTTTTATTTGTTTATGTAGAACAAAGAATCACGAAATTAAATCCTTTCCAGTACAATCAATTATTTTGTTACAAAAATGTATCTTTAACATTCTTCGTGCGCAAAAAAGTTATTTCTGGTTTGATGACGTCATCAGTCAAAACGGTAAGTGAATACTAATAAAGTTCGGAGAGGATAAATTTTCATTGTGAAGTTAAAATAATGTATGAAAATATGGGAAATATAATTGTATGTATTAACACCTAACTTCCGGTTTGATGACATATTAATAACACCTAACTTACGGTTTAATGACGTCACAGCATTAGAGATCCAAAGGTGAACATTGGATATCATTATTTGGACTACGAAGATATGACAGGGATCAAATGATAGAATTAAATTAAAAATATGATACTTTTCAAATTCTCCTTAAAGTAACTTCCGGTCTGATGACGTCGTGAATTTGAAACCTTGCCAAGTTATCTGTGGTTACCAGAAACTATCAAGGGGTGATTTGGTAATATGTGGATGGCTGGTTTTAAAATTAAAGATAGCAAACGCTATATTATGTGCCGCTAGGGGGCGCCCTTTCGGATGATGACGTCATCACACTTTTTTTGTGTTTGGTATTCCTCACTCAACACTTTCATAATTTATATGTGTGTAATAAAATGCTTCCGCTTTTAAGTTATAATCGGTTTTAATTGCACTTCCGGTAACACCGGAAGTGAAGGTCAAGTGGTTTTGTGTCCGGGAACCAGTGTTGGAGCAAAGGCTTTGACCCTCAAGGCCAAGGCCAAGGCCAAGGCTTTGACCCTCAAGGCTAAGGCCAAGGCCAAGGCTTTGACCCTCAAGCCTCGGGGCCAAGGCCAAAGCTTAACCCTCAAGGCCAAGGCCAAGGCCCTGTTTTATGAAATGACCACTGATATAGAACTAATTATAGTCACATGAGTGACACATCATCACGCAAGGGCAGATCCAGAACACAATTTGGGGGGGGGGCAAAGAAATTTTGGTCCCCCCCCAAAAAAAAAGTGGGTCAAAAAATTACGGCTTGGGCTTCGGGGCCCGCTTAAGGGCCCCGAAAAAAAATTGGATTCGAGATGCTCTGTTGTGCGATTTGAGGCAATTCTGACCATTTTAACCGATGTTTTTTGAGGAAAAGATGGTGGTGTACTCATTTCCTGCCTTTATTACGACGTCAAATAAAAAAAATGGTTTCGTTTGGGGGGGGGGGGCATGGCCCCTTTTGGCCCCCCTGGATCCGCCCTTATCATCACGAATTGCTCGTTACGAAGAACAACATTTCTTTAATTGCAATCAACATGCTCGCATAGGCCTACACCGTTTTATGACTGCACTGTATCTATTAAAGTATAAGTTTAGGTCTTCAATATGGTTTAACTAAACAAAATAATGATTTACTTCTATATTGACACACAATTCTCCCAAGTGTAACAAAAGGGGGATCCAAGAAACTGATTTGGGAAATTTTTATTTGCTGGCCCAACATGGTCAGAAATATCAGCATTATCTAAAACACATACATGCAAATCTTTAGCACTTATCAGGGAGACATATACAACCAATCAGATATATTCCATAGTTATATGCAATTAAAGTGATCATCTCATTAGCCCCACAAGTGTACGGAATATTTTTGCAGCAAATCTACTACAATGGTAACAAAATGTGATGCTACAAAAGTGGAAGTGTGCCCAACACACAAATCTATAGGGTGCTTCCCTCCTCCATGGTAATACGATTAATATGGTAACAGCAAAATTTCGAACAGATTTATCTGGAAAATGCAAAAATCTATGGGCCTTGAAGAGCCTTGACTCAAAATTGCAAGGCCCTGAACCCTCAAGGCCAAGGCCAAGGCTTTTGCCCTCAAGCCTCGAGGCCAAGGCCAAGGCCCTAAAATCCAGCCTTAAGGCAGCCTTAAGGCCAAGGCCCAGCATCAAGGCACTACATCACTGCTGGGAACAAGGAATGTTTGGCACGGCATAGTCTACAACCTCACGAAAAAACGAACATGATACTCTTTTTAGTTCAAAAGATAAAATTCAGTAAACATTATAATTATGTACACATACAAGTTATTTCTGGCTCGATGACGACATTATTCAAAATCCGGAAGTGAATACTGATTTAGTTCGGAATGGATAAATGTTCATTGTGAAGTTAAATAACGTATGAAAATATGGAAAACATAAGTGTTTGCATTCATAACACCTAACTTCCGGTTTTATGACGTCAAAGTATTTGGAAGCAAAAAGTGAACATTATAATGGATATCATTATTTGGGCTACGAAGATATATGACATGGATCGATATAAATTAAATTTAAAATTAGCTGTTTTCAAATTCTCATGACGTCATGAATTTGAAACCTTGTCAACTTATTTGCAGTTCATGAAAGAATATCAAAGGGCGATTTAGTAAAATTTGAACGAATGATTTTCAAATTATAGAAAGCAAACACTGTTTTATGTGTTGCTAGGGGGCGCCCTTTCGAAAGGTGACGTCATCACACTGGGTTTTTTGTCTGGCATTCATCACTAAACACTATCAAAATGATATGTGTAGTAAAATGCTTCCGCCTTTGAATTACATGTATATTCGGTTTTCATTGCACTTTCGGTAACACCGGAAGTGAAGGTCAAGCGGTTTTATGCCCAGGGACAAGAAATGTTCCTCATGGCAGAGTCTACAACCTCACGAAAAAAACGAACACGATACTCAATTTAGTTCGAAAGATATAGCGCAAACTATTTTGTAAGAATTTACCCTGAAATCGCTTGTAATTTGATACCTGATGATGTCATGATGACATAACAACATTTATAACATCTTCGTAACATGGTACAAGTTCACACTAGGTTTCTGGATCATACCGCAAACCGTTTGGAAGAAATTCTGCTTTGTTTTTATTTCAGGCTAAAGTCTTCATTTTGAATTCACCTAACTGTGACCTTCCGGTAGACCCGGAAGTAAACGTCAAGCGAGTTCACGTACACGACAAAAATATCATGTTCGTTTTTTTCGTGAGGTTGTAAACTATTCTGTGAGAAACACGTCTTGTGCCCGGACACAAAACCGCCTGACCTTCACTTCCGATGTTACCGGAAGTGCAATAAAAACCGAGTATAACTCAAAAGCGGAAGCAATACTGCACACATATATTATGCAAGTGTTTATTGAGGACTGCCATACACAAAACAGTGTGATGACGTCATCTTTCGAAAGGGCGCCCCCTAGCGGCATATTAAATAGTGTTTGCTTTCTTTAATTTGAAAACCATCTGTTAAAATGTCACCAAATCGCCCCTTGATATTCTTTGATTAACCACAGATAATTTGGCAAGGTTTCAAATTCATGATGTCATCCGACCGGAAGTTACTTCTATGAGAATTTGAAAACGATAATATTTTATTTAAACTTAATTCTATCATTTGATTCATGTCGTGTATCTTCGTAGCCCAAATAACGATATCCCTTGCAAAGTTCACGTTTTGCTTCCCAATACTGTGACGTCTTCAAACCGGAAGTTAGGTGTTATGAATACATACAGTTATATTTTCCATATTTTCATACGCTATTTAACTTTACAACGAACATTTATCCACTCCGAACTAAATCAGTATTCACTTCCCGTTTTTGAATTAATGACGTCATCAAGCCAGGAATAACTTGTATGTGTACGTAGAATGTTTACTAAAATTTATCACACCGTTAAAGATGCATTTTTTTAAACAAAAAAAATTGATTGTACTGCTCCTTTGTTCTTACATAACCATTTTCATAACTCAACTCGGCAGTTTTTGATGAACTGATGAATTGCCTGCCCGACCACCCTGCTTTTGTAACAACAAACGCAAACCTCTAGTTCTTTTTTTTTTCTTTTTTTTTTCCAGTTTTATTTACTGTAAATTATTTACGCCAGTTTGTTATTTCCATTTAACAGTTTACAAAAATGCTTGAACAATATAGGAGCGCGTCAAAAAATGGGTCTACATCATTCTACTTACCTGTAGAGTGAATACTACCTATGCATTGTTCCCTATGCTGGCAGGCAATTTGCTAAGAGTTTTACACACAATAGCGCCCTCACGTGTCCTACCCACGACGCCCTGTGACATGCGCACTACGTTAGCGTCCTCTTTTTCTCTTAGCCGCAGGCGAGGTATATCGTGAAATTTCAATCGACCTGAATTTCACTGTTTTATTTATGCCTCTTTGCTGTGAGAAAGCTATTTATAAGAAATAAAGAGAAAGTGTTTATAGTGAGTTATTCTAAGTGAAGTGAAGTAGGAAATGAGTAAATCAAGGAAGTTGGGGAGGACTGGGTGTGTCGATAATGGAGGGACGTACATCCCACCAGA